ACACACACACACACACACCTAGATACATTACATGGAAATAAGACTGTAAATATAAAGTTAAAAGATTTTAAAAGAGACCACAGAGAATAGATGACTTAAAAATGAATAATGATCATACCGACATTAGAGTTTTCAACAGTAACAGATGCAAAATGACGAGAGCAATGTTTTTTAAGTACTGTAAGGATAGAACTCAGACCTAGGATCCTTTTACGTGGACAAATCATCATCCCAGTGCGAGGACGTAATACAAATATCCTCAAGCATTCAAAATAAACTCTTAGATTTGCCACAGAAAGACCCACCCTAAAAACAATCTTGAGTAAGTATTCAAATATGATAATTAAATCCAGGAGACTCTGTGAGAGATATGGCTATTAAAGATGATCAAGCATTTGTTGTTCTGGGAGACAGGCTGGGAAGAAAATTAAGAATAAAGAAAAGAGGACTTCCGGTAAGATGGAAGAATAGGCAGACAAGTGACACAGACCCTCTTCACAAAGAAAAGAAAAACCAATTGACAGAGATACAGAAGATAATCCTGGAACCCTGACCTCTGAAAGGAACTATACAGAAGTGGATTAGGCACCAACTATTGGAAAAACCTGAATGAAAACAGTGAGTACAGAGACGGCTGGAGCTGCGGACCATCAACTACTATGACGAGACCAACAGACTGAATATTTTCAAGTGGTGTTGGGACCTGAGAACTGACCTAAAGATCAGTCCTGGTGACCAAGGGCTGCAGGGACAACTGTTTTGGTGGTCTATGACTAGGAAGGGAAACAGCAAGGAGGGAGACAACCTGAGCTGTGGACTTTCTGCTGTCTGGAGGGCGCAGCCATTTGATTGTTTATACATTACAGCCATTTTAGATACTTAAAGTAACCGAGGGCACAACCATTTTGATTGTTTACACATGGCAGCCATTTTGGATATTTAAAGTGACCAAGGGCACAGCCATTTTGAATGTTTACAAGTGGCAAAAATTTTGGATTTTAAAGTAATAGTATTCTCATTCGGATTCCAGGGACCTAAGAACAGGCTCTATTTGTCAGGGTCAGTAAGGACATACAAGAGGCTGACAATGGAAAGGAGACAGGTGGTGAGTATATAAGTGCTGTCAACTAGTGAATAGGAGTACAGCACAGTACCCTGCCTGTATAGCTAACATACAAACAAAACAAAGAAAACAAAAATTGTGGGCAAGTCACTCCAACATATAATCACCAATTAAATATAAACACAAAAACATCACAATGCCT